AACACCACATACACACAAACACGAAGACAGAGACACACATACAAACTGCAACTCCTTGAACTCTGCTCCTTTAAAAGCACAAAAAAAAACCATCAGATCACCGAGCCAAAGCTGAGCAGGCTGATATTCGCCACAGCTGCCCTCCAGTTCGTCAGCTATGGATCTAAACCAAACATGACATCAGCCCTTGTAAACATAAAACACTTTTTCCCCCATTTATAAGTTCTATTTTTACACCCACTGACGTCTTTCAATGCCTGATGCACATATGTGTGTGTGAGCACTGCTCTGTATATGTCGGTGTCTATTTATGCGCATGCACTTGTGTGCCACTGTGTGAGGATGCGACCAGCAATAGCTCAGCACGACTAAGTAGACGGAGGCTAATTGAGCTGAGGTGCCCAGCACTGTGGACAATGAGTCCATTTCAAATCAGCAGGAGGCCTATTGAAGACAATTATAACCTGGGGGATACAGAGGAGCATTATTCTTCTAAGCCATCTTGGCCACTTAGGCCGGCTGTGTTTCCACTGCAATTTTAAAACCTGCTTTTAACTCTCCAGCAGTTTTAACACATTACGCAGCACATGAAAGGCACAGTTCACCTACCAAAACAGGCAGAAATTAAATAATTCACTGCAAACTAAGTCATTACCGAATCATGTCAGTGAAAAAAAATGAATGACAACTAAACACATCACTCTTCTTCTTCTTAGTTCTAATTAACAGAACATAGCAACAGCAGTTCATCTGTCCCATTCTCGTGAACGCGATATCTCAGGGACGCCTTAAGGGAATTTCCTCAGATTTGGTATAAAGGTTCACTTGGACTCAAGGATGAACTGAGTACATTTTGGTAGTCAAAGGTCAAAGGTCAAGGTCAGAGTGACCTCAGGTCCGTCCCAGTCTTGGCAGCGCGATTGATCAGGAAAGCCTGGAGGGAATTTCATCTCATCCGGCACAGGATGAAGTGATTAGATTTCAGTGGTCAAAGGTCAAAGGTCAAGGTCACTGTGACTTTAAAAAAAAATTTTGGCCATGACTCAAGAATTCATATGCTAATTATGACAAAATACTCTCAATACCAAGTAAACCAAAGTGAACAGTGAAGCAAAAGCATTGAAGATACACTCTGTTTGTTATTGTGCATAATCCTAAAATTTGTTCCCAGCTCACTGTCAGTGTTTTGAAAGTCAACACAGTTCATATCTGAGTTTAGAGCATCATCTGAGAAGACATTTCAGCATTTGAGGGTGCTGTTAGGTGTGAATAAAAAACTGTACATTAAGGAGTTAAATACAAGACTTTTGAACCCACAGTGTAATTTCTAAATTACACTGGGTTATGCTGCAAAGGCTTTTTGGATACATTTCAGTGAATAAAAAACATTTTTGGGGGGAAGTCCCGTGGCCTTGTGGTTAAGACACATAATGCCGTGGCCTACAAGGCAAAGGTCATGTGAAGTAGTCAAGCAAGCGCTACCACTAGTGAACTAATCTGCCAGCATTTACAGCCATATGACTGCTATTGACGATTCAAATCTGGTGTTGTGCCCACTGACTGGTATCTCAGCCAGTTGAAGAGCCTGGTCAGAGCTTGTAGTCAAGATAGTGAGCAAGTTGTCTTGCTACATAGCTAGCTAGCTACCTTGCTACATCCATGAAAAATAGTGACATAAAAATGGTGACAAGTGATGAGACGGATGCAGAGGTACAGATTGATGTAAGTCAAAGAAATACTAACTCTTAAACCAGCATATTTCTTTATCATGAAAAAGTTTACTACCAACAACCGCTACCACAGCTTCAGTGTTAACTGAGGACAGAAAGACCACTCACAACTGATTGGTTGTGCAATGTAAACTGCAATAATTCTTCTTAAGTGTTAAGAGTAATACAATGTCAAGTTGAATAGTTTATGTAACACAAAATGAAATTCAGGCTCATTAACAGGCTGATATCCTATCGACCACACTGGCTGTGGGTTTGATGATGTTTCATGACATTGTATTTAAGGCTACAATGGATTCATTTCAGTAGGAACTGATTACAGATATTGAGCATTTTTGTCCGGGCTATTACTTATTGAGCTCTTAAGAATCTCACATTTCTCCAACTAGTCACTCTGAACAGATGTGGTGGAAGTTTTTGTTGGGCAACAGGTGAGTAACTTATGTATAAACGTGTTCCCACCATATGTGTGTGTTTTGCTACTTTTTCAAGGACAATAAAAAATTTTGCACTTCCTCACTGATCACCTTCTTACGACACAAGCAGACAAATAAGCGCAGCTAACGAAGGAAAGACTAATGAAAAGTAGCCTAATAGTGCCTTCCACAGGCATTAGCATTAGCTCTTCGCAGTACTCTTTTGTGAGCTGTTTTTGTGTTAATGATAGTTTAGAAAAAGGCAGAGATGAGATGAGATGGAAGTACAAGGTTATTTCCTGTGTGTTATTTTCATGCAATCTTTAGTCAAGTTTTCACTGAGCCAGATGAACAGTTAATGACTGAGGTTGCTTTAATCTTTTTTTTTTGGGGTGGGTGTGAACGATGCCTTT